AGAGTGCCCATGGGTTCAATCTCAGTACCAAAAAAAAAAAGGAAAAAGAAAAATTTCAGATGATGCCACAGCCATACATGATTTTGCTTCTTGTTTCTTATTTGTCTTCATCTCCTACTCTTCTCTCTCATTGACCTTGCTGTTTCTCCAAACACCAAACAGCCTCTCTTGTCAGTCTGCTTTCTCTTCCTTGCACCTGGAAGAGTCTTCTTCCAGAATCTGTGGCTCACTCACTCTCTCTCCCTGAAGTTCCTGCTCAAAATTGAGGATTCACTTGAAAACTGATGCTAACTAGCACCTTCCCCACCCCTGGCCCTTCACTCTTCTTTGCTTTTCTTCTTAGAATTTACCATTGTCTGGCCAGGTGCAGTGGTGTATGCATATAATCCCAGCAACCTGAGGCTGAGGCAGGAGGATCACAAGTTTGAGGTCAGCCTGGGCAACTTGGCAAGACCCTGTCTCAAAAAAACAAGATAACCAAAAACAACAACAACAAAAGAGAGAGAGAGAGAGAATAAAAAAGAAAAAAAAAACGGAAAAAACAACTTATCATGGGGCTGGGGTTGTGACTCAGTGGTAGAGCGCTTGTCTAGCATGTGTGAGGCACAGGGTTCGAGTCTCAGCACCACATATAAGCAAATAAATAAATAAAGATCCATCAATAACTAATAAAAATATTTTTAAAAACCCAACTTATCATAATCTCACAGAAAAAACATGCTGTGTCTTTGTTTAGTTTCTCATATTTTTCCCTTTCTACCTATTAATAAATCCTTATAATGCTTATAACTTGCCAGATATTTGGTATAAATTATTATTCTTTTTATGTATCCAAACTAAATGACTTCTCTCAACAACCCTATGGTGTGATATTCTACCTACTGGTGCCACACTATTGCTGCAGAACACATCTGGCCACAAACATGTTGCTAAAATGAGAATCATCTATTCTTGTTCATACACTGGTGGGCTGGTTGAGCATAGGCAGGACGTAATTGAACTTTCCCCTAAGCCATGAGTTGAGCCCAGGTGGCTCTTTCCACCAGCAGGCTATCTGGACATGTTCTTCCACAACTGGCAGAGGCTCAACAAAGCAAGCCTCCATGGCAGGACCAAGGAGGCAGGACATGAGGAAACCGAGGCACCTACAAGGTAAGTAGCTGGCCAAGGTCATGCATCTAGTACATGGTAGAAGTCGACTACGATTGGCCTAGTCCAGCCAGGACACCATATTTTGCGGTATAATTGTTGCTGCAGCATAATAGTCACGCCGTGTTTTTCTCAGTCCAAAAATTGGTTTGTAACCTTTCATATTGTAATTGTCATGTGGTATGATTCTGTCATTATGCTGCTTAAAAAGTAAAAAACAGCAATGCATTCAGCCGTGACATATGGATGCACAATTGTCTTCTCACACTGCCTTCTCACATTGTGAGAGGGGAGGCTAGACTTCTCAGTGCACTTGCATTGTCAGTGTATTTCCAAAAGCTGACTTATGTGGGTTGTTCAAAGTGCTGCAGCACTAACTGCAAACACATCTTCTATGTGTGGTGCTGAGATTAGTATGCCAGATAACAAAATCTATGAGAGTAATGCAGAATCTTTGAACACAGATATAATTGCGCACATCTCTCTTTGCAACACTGTAGCAACTTTTTTTCAAGTGTAATATTATTCCAACTACAATGCAGAAATCGTTCATGTACTAACTTTTTATTTTCAGACTGAAAAAGTGTTCACTAAACTGTTATGAAGAAACGCTGTGCATTGGTTTGGACTACTCAGTTTTAATGTATATTCATGAGTATTCCATGCATTATAATCTTGCACCAAACACAGTTTAGTAACAAATTATTTTAAAGTAATAACAACACAATTAAAAAAAAAAAAACAAAACTTCACAGGTGGGTTTGGTGGTGCACACCTCTTATTCCAGCAACCTGAGAGACTGAAACAGGAAGACTGAATGTTCAAGGCCAGCCTCAGCAATTTAGCAAGGCTTTCAGCAACTAAATGAAATCCTTTCTCAAAATAAAAAATAAAATGGACTGGGGATATAGCTTAGTGGTAAAGTAGTCCTGGGTTGAATCCCCAGTACAAAAAACAAAACAAAATAAAAAAAATCATCATAAAATGGTTGCATCCCACTGTTTTGCAAAAAACAACTCCTTCACCCCCCCCAAAGAAAAACCACCCCCAAATGGGCAAAAAATCTGCAATAATTATTCAGTGAAATATAGTAAGTATATATATATTATAATATTATAATCACAGTATTAGGGCAGGATTTTTGTTGAGTTTGTTGTTGCAGTCTCAACACCTAAAACACTGCTTGGCACTTAGTGGGTGCTCAGTAAATATTTGTGGAACAAACAAATGAACTCAGTACAACACAAGGCACATAGCTGGTTCTTAAGAAATGGCAGATGTAACTGAGAAAAAATATTCAAAATTTGGGAATAAGATAAAGGAAAGATAGCATGGTCTTTCAAAACCATACTGGAATGTTGTTTAACTGGTACACCAAAACGTTATTTAATTATCTAGAGAAATGTTTTGTTTGTTTGTTTGTTTGGTTTTTGCGAGGGGTGCTCATTTTCTACTATGGATTAAAGACCCAAAGTCTGTGAAGCTATATATATGTATATATATTTTTTGATTAAGTACATATGTAAATTATTTCTGAAAAACAAATTATTCTGGGAACCTCCCAAAATCCTCCCCCTAAAACTTAACATTACATTGCCCTGCAGGACATAAATGAATATTGCATTTAACCTATCAATCTTATTTCAAGTCTCTGCAATGGAACCAACATCAGTGTTTCATTGCTTTTCTCATTAGTGAGTTGAATAAGTCTTTGTCATGTTTTTCTGTAATTTGAGTTACATATTTAACTTTTTGAAAAGTGTACTTTAATATCAGCTGTATTATTTAAAAACTTTCCTGCTGAGGGTTGGGGATGTAGCTTAGTGGTAGAGCACTTGCCTAACTTGTATGAGGCCCTGGATTCCATCCCCAGCAACATGTGCACATGCTTGTGGCTTCCGCACCCCACACATCCTACTGAATCTGAAGGTGGTTATTCACTTCCAATTTAATTCAACTATTATATATTTTTTTTTCCTGTTTCTTTGGAGTAGGGGAATGCAAACTAGGAATACAGGGGTGAGAGGAGGGTCTGAGAACTTATTGCTAGGCTTTCATTCCAGCAACTTGGAGCCCAAAAGGTATCATGGACTAGACAAAGCAGGCTTGAAGTAATTATAAAGGCTTTCCACAAGCTTATGTTCATTCAAAATTCTGATCATATAACTAGAAAGCATATAGATGGTTATGAGAGACAATTATTATTTTGAAGAGAAAAATATCTGAGGCTCAAAATCTTCCTATAAACATAATCAACAGTCTAGTATTATATAAATTATTGAGGGCAACACTATCAGTAGCATCTATGGAAGAGAAGGGGTTCAAATCTTTATTTTATAATTAATAATTAACAAAGGGGAACCACTAAGAAGTTTTAGTTCAAAGACTCCCTTCTCAAAACTCTGGCTACTTAAAAAACGGGAACTTTCTTAAGAGTCTTTACAAGTTCCTGGCTTGGTGGTGCACACCTGTAATCCCAGCAGCTGAGGCAAATTTAAATCGAAAATTTAAAGCCAGTTTCAGAAATTTAGCAAGTCCCTAAGCAACTTAGTGAGACCCTTGTCTCAATCAATCAATCAATCAATAAAATAAAAAGGGCTGGAGGTGTGGCTCATTGGTTGAGCTCCCCCAAGATTCAATCCCCGGTACCAAAAATTAAAAAAACAGTAATAATAATAAGTAAGTCTCTACAAGTACCACTTATAGACTATACTGAAATTCCATTTCATTTCAGTATTATGAAGACTTTTTGTGTGTGTGTGTGCCAGGGATTAAGCCCAGGGGTGCTTAACCGCCGAACCACATTCTCAGCCTTTTTTATTTTTTAATTTTGAGACAGTGAGACACTGTCTCACTAAGTTGCTTAGGGCCTCACTAAGTTGCTAGGCTGAACTGCGATCCTCCTGTCTCAGCCTCCTGAGCCCTGGGAGTACAGCATGGGCTACCATGCTATGAAGACTATGTTTTATCTAGTATTTTCCTCCCGTGCACTTTTACTCTTGAAAACTACAGACTTTTAGAACACACTGGAGTTTACGAAGAGCGCTTTACATTCTTTTTTTTTGGGGGGGGGAGGGGGCGGTAATAACATTCTGGTGTTAGATTAAGGACGGGAATCAGGATTTTAGATACCAAGATCTTGGACTTCCACAACTCAGAAAGTTGAACGTGAGTTGACTCTTTTCTGGTAATACATGGATTATCTCGAGTAAAGGGAATAAAAACCCTGGACTTGAGCCCCGAATACCATTACACAATTCCCTTGTGACTTCGTGGCTTAGTTCCTTACCTATACAAGACTGACCAGTCGGAGCCCTGGCTTTCTAGAGGTCACACGAACTAACTAATCGAGGTAAAGGATTCAGCCTGGAGCTCCTCCCAAGATAGCACTGCTTAATTGAGAGCAGCTAATCAATACCGGGCTGTCACTGGGAGCCCCACAAAGACGTCGGGTAGGCAAAGGAGTGGACAGCAGTGGAGTGAACGGGTGGCGCAGACCCAATCAGGATACACACTTCTCCCCGCCAGGTTTCCCTCAGGCTGCGGACCTCGCCGGTGCTGGGCGGGGGCACCGGGCTCTCACTCCGCCCCAAGGAGCGGGGGCGGGGACGCCGTCCCCTGGGAAACGGGACGCGTTGCTTGTCCCGGGCCACCGCCTCGGTCTGCCGGGCTCGCAGTGCGCACAGTCTCGCGGCAGTTAAACAGAAGCAGGTCGGGGACGAGGGTCCGCGATCGCAAGGCAGGTGGGCACCTCCGGAGGTGAGCTGTGTCGGGGTGACCTCCTCTACTCCAGACTGCAGAGAGGTGCGCGCCAAGAGCTGACTGGCCGCGCGTTCCCTTGGATGTACCAAATGGCAGCCCGAGGCGCAAGCTCCGAGACTCAAGGTTTTCTGGAAGTCCCGACTTTGCGCCAGACCCCGGGGACCCGCCTGCAGGCCTCAGGTTCTATGGAGTTCGAAGAGGAGGAGGAGGAAGAGGAGGAAGCGGAGGCTAGGAGAGCCCGGAGTTTCGCTCAAGACCCGCGAGTGCGCTTCCTCCAAGGCCACCTGGAGCAGATGCTGGGACTCCGGGAGGAGAATTGGAACCAGTATTTGGCGAGTGAGGAAAATCGGCAGGTTCTTGGGGAATTTTTGGAGAGCATCAGCCCTGTCTGCCTTGTGTTCAGCGTCGCCACCACTGGGCGGCTCGCGGTCTCCCGGGAGGTAAGGGGAGAGGGGACCTGCCACGTCTCTGGACGGGTAAAACGGACGCTCTAGGTGGGAAAGTCCGGAGTGCCTACTCATCCCGCACTCCCCGGGGCGCTTAAAAAAAATTAGTTTGAGTTCTCTAGCCTGGAATTCGCAGAACCCCTCTCCTCTCACGTGCTCCCCTTTGCAGTTCAGTTTTATAGTTTTCAGTCCTTTTCATCTGACCGAGAATCTCCCATTGAGCTTCTTGAGACGGTAATGCAGGAAATCCAGGGTTTTCTGTAGAAAATAATTTCCGTCTCAGTCGCTCGTGGGTTACTCTGAAATCATATCCTTTAAAACATGTTTGGTAGAGTTCTTATAACTTATCACTGGTTAGTCTGACTACCTGTCAACCACATTCCATTCCGGGGAGAAATATCAGTCCTTAAAAAGGAGCGTCCAGGCAATATGTGCACAACTTGGTGATCCTTCCTTTCTCCCTCTTTTCCTCCTTTCCTTTTTATTTTTGAACTTATGTTGCTTGTCCACTAAAATCTGGTTACTATATCAAGAACAGCATTTGTAGTTAGCATTTTTCCTATGTGAAGAGCTTGGAGGAAGATTCGAGATCTTTAGGCAGTTGTGTCTCAGGTGAATGTTGTAAAGTGATATTAGCATCCTAGATGTCCTTAGGATAGTTGGAAAATAGGATCCCAGACACTAAAGTGTGACATGAAGATTGTCTGAGGGTTTTGTGAGTTTTTAAAATTTTTGTTTTGGTATTCTTCTAATTGTAACTTATTATTTAAAAGTCCTTCAGCCAAAAAAGTACTTTAATGTTGAGGAAGCTAAATAGAAATGACTCAATAGTTGTGAAAATGTTAGAATATCTTGGTTAAACACTTCTAATCTTTGCCTTGAAGACAGAAATACAAATTAGACTCTTGTGCCTTGTGTTTATCTCAGTTTGGCTTATGTCCAAAGAAGAGAATATTATTAAAAATAATTTTTAAGATTGAAACATTGTATCTGCTCTGTTTTAAATTATGAGATGTTATGCTATGTGTTGATTTGCTGTAATTGACATGCCTTTAAAGGTGGTATTTCCACACCAATAATACTGTGAAATTAATGTTATAAAAAAACAAAGAAAATTGTATGTACTTTGGAGAATAGGGAGGAACAGGAGAATGACCTTGTTTGTAAAGGTGGGCAAGATGCCAGGTTTTGTTTCTTATGTTAGCAATCTGGCTACAAATTGGGAATAGCAAATCCTGCTTGTTAACCAGGAAACTATATAGTGAACTTGCATTAATTATCTTGCTCTTGTTTCAGATTCCAAGAGATGCAAAACATAAAGTTGTTTATATTGCTAAGAAGATTACTGAAAGCATTGCAGTAAATGATTTATCTCGAACGCTTTTATTTGGAGAATTACCTGCATCATCTCTTAGGCATATAACTGCTTTCCTAGATGAGGTACTAGTCAATTCAAAAATATTTGAATTTTTCGTTTATCTCCATGATCCTTGGAATTATTTGACTATTGAAAAGAAAGAACACATAGAAGTCAGCAGTTTCTTTAGCCAGGTGGTTGGAGAGTAACAGCATTTAGATTGTTTCTGTAATGAGCCAATACTGACCCTAACACTCAACAAGTGGTAACTTGTTAGGTCATTCCTCCTTCCCTTCTTCCTCACCAAGTAATGGAAGTATATGTAAATCAACTTGAATTGGCTAGGTTCTTGCTCTTAGTTGTAGATTTTAAACTTCCCCTTCAGATAAGATAAGCTTACACTTGAAAATGGGTATTATCCATTTTTCAGATTCTTGTTAGAAACTAACAGTTTGAAACTGTGATAGAAAGAATTAGAAATATTTGTCTTAAAACTCCCTTAACCCTTTGCTATTATTTGATCTGGAATCTCCCTCTGAAGGCCCATGTTTTCAAGACTTGGACCTCAGCTTGGTGCTAAAGGTAGGTAGTGGAACCTTTAAGAGGTGGAATCTAGCGAAAGGAAGTGATGTCATTGGGGCAATAAGGATATATAAGGACCCCAGCCAATTCCTTTCTCTTGGCTTCCTGGCTGATGTGAGGTAAGAACCTTTCTCCGTCACCCAATCTGGCCATAAGGTGCTGCTACTTTGCTACCAGCACAAAAGCAATAGGGTCAACCAACTATATGGACTGAAACCTCTGAAACTGTGAGTCAAAATAAACCTTTCCTCCTTTAAGTTGATTATCTTGGGTACATTATCAGAATGACAGAAAAATGACTGATACATCCCTTTACATCAGGAGATGTTCTTTGAACCTATCACTGGTACTTTAACGTGCATTTGAATCACCTGGGGATTTTGTGGAAGGTAGACTGAATTTTTTGGCCTTCAGTGGAGCCCCAAAGTCTTTATTCCTTACCCGATGCTTTTTGCAGGCTATCTTTGGAAGTGTAGGTGTCATAGAATTAGAGCCGTGGTTTTCAAGCTTTACTGAACCTTAGGTTCACCTGGGGGAATATTCTAACATACCAATGACTGATAGCAATTCAGAATGTCTGTGGGAAGTTGTTCAGGCTTCCCAGCTGATTGTAAGGCATAGTAAGCACTGGAATCAGTGGTTCAGATACCTGTCCATGAAGTCAATTGTAAAAATTGTTTATTAAATTAGAACTCAGTAATCAGTCCTGCCAAGGCTATATGGTAGGTAAAATTGCTAGTACATTTATTAGTTATGATTTACCAATTTCCCTTTATCTCTCTTCTACTTCCTGAGTCTTGGCACTGTCTTCTTGAAAGGAGGTATTTTCTTGTTGTCTTCAGGCAGGCCAAGTCTCTTGCAACTAGCTCTAGTACTCTGCCTAGGCTCCCCTCTCCCTGCATCCACTAACTGGTTTTAGCTGATTATAGGGAGAGGCTGGGAAGAACATTTTCTGTCTTTAGTACCTGGAACAGTTTTTGGTATGTAGCAGGTGCTCAAGAAATTTTTAGTGAATCTGATGAGTTTCTGTTGTAATTTGCATCTAGATGGCCATCAGCTGGGGCTTAGAAGGGCAAGACTACACTCTTCATGGAGATTCCCGCTCTACCATCTGTGTTTTGCAAAAGAGAGAAAACTGTCGAATTCCTTTGATATTTCTATCTCAGTACCAGAATCTGCTCTGCATTTAGAAAAAGGGTTAGATGAAAGAGTATGCCAATGTGTACATGTATTGGAAATATAAAACATCCAGAATTTAAGTTTAATAAGTGGTTTAGAAGGGTCTAAAATGAGCACTGGGAAAAAGAAAAAAAGTAAAGACATCACATTATTATGTGGTATGTATCAGGTGTTCAAAAAATTTTTATTACAAGGTTTATATTTGGTATGAATGAGGCTATAAGGTCTGACTATATATTTTTAGGTTAAAAGATCCAAGGATTTTCATAGCTTAGTACCCACTGTAATACAAAATTAGCTGTGTTCTAGAATGTGTCAGGGACTCCTAAACTTCTTTTTCCAGCCAAGATCTCTCTCCTGTCCTCCAAACTTGGAGAGCCACATTCCTTCCAGACACTTCCACTCTGTATAATTGACCTCTCAAAGTTGAACTTCTGGCCTTCCTCGACCTTCCTTTTCTGGCTTTACTTGTAGTTATTCCCAGATTAGTGGAGGTGAGTCCTTACAATTGTTTAAGGCAGAAGTCCTTGGAGTCATCCTTGACTCTGTGTCTCAATGTTATATTGATTCTGTTAGGAAATTGTGTATGTTCCGTCTTCAGAATACTTCCCAAATCAGTCCCCTGCCCCCCTCCACTGCTTCTTCCCTGATTCAGTTCACCTGTACCACTACCCTGTGTTACCGCCTTAGCCTTTTAAAAGATCCCCCTGCTTCTGTTGTGGCTCTCATTCACAACCTATTCCCAGCACAGCATTGGAATGAACTTTGTTGAAATATGAACCACAATATGTCACTTCTCACTGCCTTGGCTCCTGTTTTACTCACAATAAAGGCCCAAGGACTCATCGCCATTAAGACTTTCCTTTGGTGGCTGCTGCTGGGAATCTGCATTACTAGCATCACCTGGAACTATAGGACCTCAGATCCCACCATAGAGCTGCTAAGTCAGCTGATTGAGTAGAAGTGCTGAAAGCACTGGCCCCAAGTTTGTGGTCTGGCCTCTTCCTTCCTTCTCAGAATTCATCTCACTTGCTAACTACTAAACACCTCAGGCATACACTTGCCCTAGGGCCTTTGCGCTCACTGTTTCCTCCTCTTTCCCTGAATCTACTCAGCTAACCCCTTCTGGTCCTTCAAGTGCTGGGCTCAAATAGCTCTTTTCACTGAAGCTTCCCTCCTGGAAAGTAGGGGGGTTTTCCGAGGTGGAAACCAGGGTGAGGCAAGGACATATCCAAATCAGCAAAATTTTCATCATAGAAAAGCAACTCCAAACCAATGCATTAATTAAGATAAAATATTTTTAACAGTGAACATCTTATTAACTTGGCAAAAGAAATGGGTCTAATGAAACAGACTGAGGACCTGATACAGAGTAGATGTGAGCTAGTGAATTTGGAAGAGGTGAATTCAGCAGGAATAAAGGTGATAATACACATTCAAAGTCATAGCAAAATCCATATTACTTTGGAAAAAAATATACATAACACTAAACTATTTTTACAACTTTGTCAAGTTCCACTTTGCCACATTTGAAAATGTATTTTATTATTTTGACAAACATGAAATTACCTCCTAGTCTCATACTTTTTACTATTTAGTTAGTTTTAAAGGTAGAGTCGATTGCTGGAAACATTGTATTTTTTTTCTCATTTCTGGCATTATTTTAGCAACAAAATCCCCGAGTTTTGTTTTTTGTTTTTGTTGTTTTTTTTTTTTGTTGTTGTTGTTGTTTTCTTCCTCTGCACTGTCTTATTTGATACTCTTATTACAGCTTGAATGCAAATTTGAACTTCTAGCTCTTCTCCCCCACATCTCAACAAACACAAGAACCTCACACACAGGCCAAGGAAGCAACACACAGAAATATGGTTAGAGCATTCCTTACAACATTGCTTATAATATAAAAAATAGAGGGACTGGGGTTGTGGCTCAGGGGTAGAGCTCCCACCTACAATTAAAAAAAAAAAATTACAAAAAAAAAAAAAGAGAGAGAGAGAGAGAAAGTAGTTACCAAATAGGGGAATGGGCAAAGTAGGAACATGCAATAGTTGCTTAAATGAACTAAGTCAAGATGTATTCACCTGAACAGACTCATTTTTAAAATGAAGGTGAGCGCAAAAAGTAAACTGGAGGTCAGTAATACTACCACTGAAATTCTGTGTGTGTGTGTGTGTGGGGGTAGGTTCTTGGGATTAAACCTGTGGCTTCATACTGCTAGACAAGCACTCTACCACTGACCTATACCCACAGCTCCTCTGCACTTTTTTGTGTTTTTTAAGTACTGGCATTCAAACCTACGGCTTCGAGGATGCCAGGCAAATTGTCTACCACTAAACTACATTCCTAGCCACAATTGATGATTTAAAAAAAAAAAACAAAAAACTGTACTATATATTGTATGTAAGAAAATATACCCTAGGTGTGGTGATGCATACCTGTAATCCAGAGGCTAAGGAGGCAAAAGGATCACAAGTTCAAAGCCAGCCTCAGCAACTTAGTGAGGCCCTGTCTCAAAAAGTGGTCTGGAGATGTGGCTCAGTGGTTGAATGCCCCTGAGTTCACCCCCTGCTTACCTGCTCTGCCTTTCCCCCTCCCCCCCCCCCCCCCCCCCCGCAAAAGAAACATGAATGAGGAGGGGTACACTACAACTGTAGAATAATGATCATCTCTTAAAAAGAGAAGGAAAGAGTTTCAGAGAAGATAATACAATTTTATTTTAACCTTCTTGAATAAGGATAAATAACATTGTAATGCAAATTTTTTTAAAAAATAAAAATGCCCTACAATCAACATTTAATGTAAAACATAGGATTAGTAGCACTACTAATCCATATGGAGTCTGAGGCAAAAGGTAAAGTGTTCATTAAATTTTTTGACATTTTTTTCATGAAAATCTTTGAAGTGTGTGGGTGGCAATGGAGATTGAATCCAGGACCTCATACATGCTAGGCAAGCCCTCTAGCCCTGAGCTACATCCCCAACCTTTATTTTGAGACCAGTCTTGCCAAGTTACTGAGGGTGGCCTAGATTGCAATTTTACTGCCTCAGGCTTCTGAGTAGCTGGGATTATAGGTGTGCACCACTACATCTGGAAAATTTTGATGTAAAAATAGTTTTTAAATGTCCATCTTGATTTCCAAGTTCTTTGGTGCCCTCTTAAATTTTGTTCTCCAGGCAAGTATCTTAATTACTTTATCCCAGCTCATTCTTGAATCTTTGACTCACTAACATGTTCCAATCCCCAGAAATATTGTGTGGCACCTAGTAGGAGTTTGGTAATTATTTATTAAAGGAATGGAAGTTAAATGAAGGCTAAATGATGTGTTCTTATTAGAGACAAAACACTTCAGCTTTTTAGAGAAAAAGCATATGATGTATGATGTCTACTTTTTGAGCAACACTTGAAAAGAATAGTTGGAAAATTCTATGCTGATAAGCCTAAAATTGCCAGTCATCATTTAATCAATATCGATTGCATACCTAGTTGGTGGCAGTTCTTGAACACTTGAGATAAGTAATGTACTTTTTGCCTTCAAAAAGAGTCCAGTGGGCTTGGGGTGTACCTGAGAGGTAGAATGCATGTTTAGTGCATGTGAGGCCCTGGGTTCCATCCCAAGCACTGGGAAAAAAAAAAAAAAAACCAGCCTAATTAGGCAGAGAGAGAAACCAACAGCAATATGGCATGGTAGTCAGGGCTGTAATGGGGTTTAGCGGGGAGTGGTGGGAGTCCGGTGGCATCTTCCTACATTGGAAAGAGTGACAGGAGGTGAGGAGTCTTGAAGAAAATGAACCTAGGTCTTAGTTTGTCTGGGAAACTTCCAGTTTTAGCCTGTTACAGATAAGTTAATATCTGTTATTTTTAGTGCTTCCTTTTACTCTCAAAAGTATCCATATGTGGTATGCTGAATTATTTGGTTGCTTTGATGGACAAGGAGAAGATAGCTCGATGTAGAATATGGAAGCCATTCTGGGTATCAGAAGAAATATGCACTCTGGCACAAAGGTGGGGAAATGCAGGTTGAGTTTTTAGAAGTTTATGTACCCAGATAGGGGGATGAGCTGGGAGAAACAAGACTAGAGAAGCTGATAGAAAGTAAACAGACTTGTGATTTTTTTTTTTTTTTAAATTCAGATGGCTGCCAGCAAATCCCATTAGCCAAACTTAAGTCCTTGTGTTTATTGAAAGACGGTAACAGAAGTGCATGTCCTATGGAGGTTTTTGTCAGGTGGACCAAGTGGCTTAAACATTTGTTTCTCACCATTCTGGAGGCTGAGATCAGAGTGTCAGCTGGATAGAGTTCTTGGTCAAGGCTCTCTTCCTAGAGAGAAGTGGTACTGGGAAGGAGGGGGAGAGAGACTTGTTCATTTATCTCTGGTTGTATTTGCTCTTAGTAAACATGTCCAAATTATTTTGGGTCACAGAGAAAGTTTGGGATTTTCTTTACAAATCACAAAAACTGGACAATTTCCAATTGAACAAGAAAAACCCACAGACTAGTTGAATCAGTTTGTATGTAGCTATTAAAATTTATTATAATTAAAACGCAAACTCCAGACCTATTTATCTTGTTTTATTTAAAGAAATGCTTTAGCTGTTTGCCTGAATAACGGCTTTTTCCAGAGCATGCAACTCAATCTCATAGCATTTTTTTCCCCCTGTAGTTCATAGCAGGAACATTAAGAGAAGCTGGCCGGGTCACAGAATAGTAGAATGAAAGTCTGAAACAGATACCCAGTAGGAATGTTGACACTGGAATTGTCCTCAGACCTGACTTTTAGAAAAAGCTTTGGTACTGGGGATTAAGTCTAGAAAGTAGCTTCTTAGTGGGTCTGTGCATGTTCATCCTTACAAGCCTATCTCTTCAGTCTGGTTTAAAAAGCCCCGGTCTTCCTCAGAGCCTGATTGTTGTCATTTCTCTCTAGGGTGCTAGTTCCAGCCCCACGTAGCCCAAACTGGCAGTTTCCCCTAAGCACTAGGATTCCTTAGTGCCCCATAATTCTGTGTTTCTGGCTGCAGTTTTCTGGAATGCTCTCTGTCTTATTCAGTTCAAGCTGTTGTAACAGAATACCATAGCCTGGGTGCCTTATAAATAATAAAATTTATTTCACATCCAGGCATGGTGGGGAATGCCTATAATCTCATCCACTCGGGAGGCTGAGGCAGGAGAATCACAAGTTCCAGGCTAGCCTCAGCAACTTAGTGAGCTCCTGTCTCAAAATAGATTAAAAATCAAAAAGGGCTGGGGATATGGCTCAGTGGTTAAGTGCCCCTGGTTGGTGTGTGTGTGTGTGTGTGGGGGGGGAGTATTTCACATAGCTCTGGGCTAAAAGTATGAGATGAAGACTGAAGATACTGGCAGATTTAAGCCTGGTTTATAGTTGGCACCTCCTAGTTTTGTCCTCATCTGTTGCAAGGGACAAATGAGCTCCTTTGAACCTTTTTTTCTTTTCTTTAACAAGGGCACCACCAATCCCAGAGCCCTCATAACCTAATCACTTCCTAAAGACCACTCTTTCTAATATGATCAACTTGAAGGCTAGGATTTCAACATATATATTTTGGGAAGACACAAACAATCTGACCATTGGTCTTGTCTTACCTCATCCTTTTGTCTTAAAGATTCAAGCCAAGTGACAATTTTTCTAGCAAGTCTTCCTAATATAATTGTATCCCAGAGTCAGGTATTTCTTCCATGTTTTCATGTTCATCCTGAACACACCTCTAATTATGGCAATGCTTACATTATGATTTCTGGTACTTCATCTATCCACTGAGCTTGTTGATCAGGGACTATTGATTGATCTCCATATTCATAGCTTGATGGATAGTAGGTGCTAAGTAATAATAATATCATTTGGAGAGATCTGTTTCAATACCATTTGAAAACAAAAGTGAATTTTCAGTTTTTCAGAATATTGTACAAGTCAAACATCCTCAATCCAAAAATTGAAAATCTGAATATTTTTTGAGCACAAACTTGATGCTACAAGTGGAAAATTCTATGCCATGGAATTTTGTTTCATGCACACAGTTATTAAAAATAATTGTATAAAATTACCTTCAGCTTACACAATAAAATGTATATGAAGCATAAGTGAATTTTGTGTTTAGACTTGTGTGTCAATCCCAAGATACCTCATTATGTATATTCAAATATTCCCAAGTCTCAAGAACCCTGAAATCAGAAACCCCTCTGGTCCCAGGTATTTTCAGTAAGGGGAGTTCAACCTGTGTTCTCCATGTGAACTTTAAAAAAGGTGGAATAACTATTTTCTGAGCATTTCAGCTAATTGAAATTTTATAGTTATAATGTGTATAATGTATCAGGAAAATATATCATACAAATGCATTCAAAATAAATAGTTATTGGAAAGGAGCAAGAAGAAACCAACTTTGGGAACTCAACCTGAGTTTCTTATGTAAAATAGGCTCCGGAAATACAAAAAAAAAAAACTTTTTAAGGGAGTCTGCACAACTTCTTGTTAAATACATAACTGAATGAACAAGCAATATCATTTCTACTACAAAGACCTTATATCTTATGTCAATTTGGTATCCTAGGAGATTTATGAAATTGAGTGGTTTTGTTGCCAATTTTTATGACAAGAAAATCTTTGAAGGAGCATATTGTCTTTAAATTAACTGCTTTTTAAAACATTTTTCTTTCTCTAGATATTAGTGCCTATTCTTTCTAATAAGACCAACCATAAATCCTGGTCGTGCTTTACTTCACAAGATATGGAACATCATGTAGAAGTCATGAAAAATAAGATGCATATTTTTAGAGGCAAAATGTCTAGAAGAACTCTTCTACCAATTCCCACTATTGCAGAAAACATTGACCTGGATCAGAATTATTCAGAGACCAAGTATGTAATTGTGTACATATTTCATACAGGATATTAAAATGGAGAGCCAGCAAACCCATTTATTATCACATCCTTAGCAAACTATTTGCAAAGTAATGAGTTATTTTAGCTACATTTTATTTTTAAATGTTATTTTATTTCAAGGTATACTTTCTAAAGGAAAACCTCATTATCTCAACAACAATATTACTTTAGTAAAATATTTTTTGAGGATATGGCATATTAGAGACCTACTAAACACAGAATAAAATGCCATAGCTTCAGTTAAGAATGTAAAAATAATGGATTTTGAGGAAATAATATTTAGGAAACTAGTTTACAGATGCATAAAATACCTATTAAAATTCATATCTGTATTTGGATAATTCACTGTTGGATTATCATTTCAATATTTGTAGGCTGCAGTCAAATGAGAGGAGAATACTTCATGCAGTTGAATCTGTGGTTATTAATTGGTCACATCAAATCCAAGAAATTGTAGAAAAAGATTCTATGCAGCCTTTGCTGAGTGGTCTTCATCTCACTCCTCAAAGTGAGCTGGATTTCTGGACGATGAGGAGAGAGAATCTATCATGCACTTATAATCAAGTAAGTAGAGAGTCCTAGAAATTGTAAATTGAATAAGCAAAGAACTGTAGAGTGAGGTCTCCTGAGTAGTGATATCCAGTAATTTTAAAGGTTTAAAGCAATCTTTGTATGACTCAGTGTTCTGCTCTGATTTTACACCAAAGTGTATATGGTGTGCATTTTTAAAATTAATGGGGATTAAAGTAATTTTGCCTTTATGTGAATATTTTGACAGCATTTGAGATAATTGGAAATGTTTTGTGGCAGTGGAAAAAGAATATTCCCCAAGGGAAATGGTGAAGATGCCAAAATTCAATTAATCTAGTTGATTTAATTGATTTGGGAAGGAAAAGTGTCTTGCTTACTGGATACACAGCTTTGGAAGAGCTAACTTTGGTTCCTCTACTGGGTGCTTGATAAGAGACATCATTATCCAAAGTACATATTTGAAGTCACGAATTGGTGTCAACATACTATATATACAACCAGAGATATGAAAAATTGTGCTGTATATGTGTAGTAAGAATTGTAATGCATTCTGCTGTCATTTATTTTTTTAAAAATAAAAAATGTTCTAAAACGTAAGATGATCATTTACATGTTTTTTAGAGATTTTTCTGAAACAGATTAAGAAAGTTGGCATGGACTATGTAATGGTTTACGTGTGTAAACTAATTTTTTGAAATTTCAAATGAAAACTAAATCAAAATAAACTTATGAAAAAATTTTTAAATTATTTTTAGCTTGAAACAAAGTATGCCTTTGAGTATTAAATACTGTGTATATCGTATTGTGTGAGTGGAGGATAATTTAAATATTTTATTACAGACAGATTTAGTCATCTAGCTTACATTTATTAAAATTTTAAAAATATTTTTAGTTGTTGTTGGATCTTTATATGTGGTGCTAAGAATCAAACCCAGTGCCTCACACATGCTAGGCATGTACTCTATTACTGAGCCACAACTCCAGCCCCTTTTAAAAGTTTTTTTCCTTATTTAATTTAGCTTAAGGCTCCTGTTGTTCTCAAGATGGTCAAGATTCTGAAAACCAAAAAAAGCAGCTATTTTTCTACTTTGAAGGACATTTTCATGACTGTGGAAAATGGTAAAGACTCTTGTTCATGAAACGATGATGCTTGGTTCTTCTAACGATAGATTCATCTCACCCTTTATTCTCCAGCTATACTAAACTATTTTTAGTTTATCTGGTATATAGTGGGTACTTACTCAAATGGCCCTAGATTGAAGATCTTATTAGAATATCTGAGTGAAGGGAGGTGCCTGGGTATTTGGCAGAGGGTAAATGAAAGCCCCTACATAGAGGTTTTCCTATCAGCAGTCAGGCTGGGATTGTCTAGTTTTCTCCTGATCGGTGAATCTGTGCTTGATCTCCACCAGTTATTTGGCTTACAAGCACTCAAAGGCATCATTGATCTTTTGGTGAATATTAAATATGAAAATTATGAAAAGGTATCCAGTTAAAAAAAAAAACTCTTCTCCATCCTTGTCCTCCCACCATTTACTTTGAGTTTTGCCCAAATAGAACAGTTCTCCCTAAGGTTTTTGATTTCTGTTCATATTTCTTTCTCTAGTTTAAACAAATATGGATGTACATAAAACTGAAGTTTTAAATAAGACTAAAAATAATATAAACAAGGCAGGCTTGGTGGCACACGCCTGTAATCCCAGTGGCTCAGAAAACTGAGGCAGGAGGATCGCAAGTTCAAAGCTAGCCTCAGCAACTTAACGAGGTCCTAAGCAAGTCCATGAGACCCTCTCTCTGAATAAAATATATAAAAGCTCTGGGGATGTTCAGTGGTTAAGTGCCCCAGGTTCAATTCCCATTACCAAACAATAAAAACTAAAAATAATAGCTGTTTTTGCTTGTTTCTAACACTAGAACATTTCACTTTTTTTCCCTACGTGACATTTAGAAAGTTAAGAAATAATTCAAATTTACTTTGGAAGTATTTTGATATATCTTTAGGATTATTGCCATGAATTTGGTTAGAAAAGATGGTGTAGGGGGACTATTTGGTCTAGGTTATCTCAGAATAGAATTGGTGTTCTAACTCTGCTTATTAAACATTTTAAATTTGCCAAGTCTCTGTCTGGATTTCATCGGCCAAACTGGCCAAAACACCATGGTTTTGGTGTGGTATTTCTCATTCTTGTGATTGTTAGTATTTTAGGCCAAATAGATCTTTGTCATAAGGGGACATCCTTGCACTGTAAGATCTTAGCATTATCCCTGGCCTCTATACTGCTCCCGTTTGAGTTGTGCCAAAAATGTCTCCAGACATTAGCAGATGTCTCTTGGGACCAAAATCTCCCCTAAGAACCACTGGATAGAGGTTATCATATACATTATATTGTATGGAACACACAGTAGCTTTGTCCTCAGTGAATAGATACTATTAGCATTTATTTTGTGTGTGTGAGTATAAGATGAGCATTCTCTGTGGATAAAACTGCTACAGAAATAAATTCCAGGGGTTCTCATAGTCTTACCAGCAAATGTCCTGGAGATTCAGAAAAAAATTTTCAGTTGAGCCTATGGCCCAAAGGTATGGTCAGTTAGAGGTAGAAGGCCCGTCTCAAAAATGTCCTTGGTGCTCTACAAAATTATCAAACATGCTTAACATGTTTTAAGGGCACTTGCCTATTAGATGCAGTTATTTAACTTTGAAGTTAATATTGACAAAAATACACTAATTTGAAAACATGAGTATATCTGGGACATGGGTATGCTCTTTTCACAAAACTTTATTATTTGTTTTGTTTTTGCCACGCTGGGGATGGAACCCAGGGCTTTGCACATGGTAGGCAAGTGCTCTACCACTGAGCTACATGCCCAGCCTGCAAGGCTTTATTGTTGGTGCACAGATAGCTTGGTTATATGTATATCAAGCGGAGTAGTATGGGTGAGTGACAAAGGTCAGTGGGTGTTTGTTTTTTTAATGATCTTTTGGAATAACACATGAAAATAAGCTTTAACTTCATTCTCTACCTTCCTAAAAATAACCATTTTTCAGTTAATCAAAGGTATCTGTAGCCTCAGGAGCAAAGTGAAGTCTGATGGAGATCTATTTAGGGTACATTAAGAGGACTATCTTTAACCAAGAGAAGGTATGAACTTGATTAAGCAGTCACTAGCAGTATTGAACTATTTTTTCTTCATATCTATGAGATTTTTAAGAAGCATTGCTTTTATCATGCTTGACTGATTTTTGTTGTAAAATTCACACAGCATAAAATTAACCATCACACAGTGTAAACTCAGTGACATTTAGGACATTGCAGTACAACTATCTCTTCTGTCCAGTCCCAAAATATTTTCATCACTGTTCTTAATAATTAGTATCTTTGTGAGTACTGTAATAGAAGTTTTCTTAACCATTGCATCAGTTACTCTTGTAGGAAACTGGATTGGCCTGATAAATGATTGATTTGCGCTTGTCCCACGTACTGAGGAGGAATGAATGTTTTGGTGATGAAGCTTGTAATCCAACTCATAAAGTGACAGCAACATCACAGAGCTGTTTTATTCCCACAGTGTTTCCATGGGGTTGAGTAAATCTTTTTAGACTGCAAGGATTTCCCCCCCTGAGTCTTCAGCCACAATTACTTATGCTATGTGAGTAACTAGACCAGCGCTCTCCTGAGTGGCTGCGTTACAAATGAACGGTGTATAAAGTTTTTCAAACTGCTCATATGTGGATTGTAAGATAAATAATGAAAAAGGAAAGATGATAACATTTAAGTACAGCCATGTCGTTGGACATGGTTCTCTTGAACTTGTAAAGCGAGTTTAGAAAAAAAAAGAGACTACATCCTCTGCATGACAGTTCTCTTTCCTTTCAGCTCTTCTTGAAGCTCAGGACATAGAACTTTATCTGAGCCCTCTGAGAAGACACATTGAACGTCTCCAGGAAACAGAATTCCCACAGATCCACCAGCTAGTCGCCCCATTATTTCATACCATCTGTCTCATTTGGAGTCATTCCAAGTTTTACAGCACCCCTGCTCGGATTATAGTCTTATTGCAAGAGTTTTGTAATCTCTTCATTGAACAGGTATGAAGCATCAAAAATAGGAACAAGAAGAATCATTGTACCTCGAGCAGTGGTGCACACCTATAATTCTATTGGCTTGGGAGGCTGAGACAGGAGGATCGCAAGTTCAAAGCCAGCCTCAGCAATGGCAAGGTGCTAAACAACTCAGTGAGACTCTCTAAATAAAATAAAAAATAGGGCTGGGGATGTGGCTTAGAAGTTGAGTGCCTCTGCTTTCAGTCCCTGGTACCCACCCACCCCCAGTCCTCTTCCTCCCCCGCAAAAAATCATTGCCATGAGGTAGGTTGTATTGGATTAGTGAAGAAAAAAATCCAGATTACTATAAGAACACCATTTCCCTCTGTTTTCAGAAATGACTTTTATGGTTACAAAAGCCAGTAGCTTTTTTTTTTTTTTTTAAATCCAAAATCCCAAAGGAGCTCTGGAAATTAGTGAGATACAGTCAAAGAACATATTGTTGGTGGGTTTTGTTTAACATCCTACTTTCAAAGAGATTTAAGGCAGATTCCAATAAAAGGTCAGTATGCAAAGTACCTTCTCTTTGGCCTTCTCTTTGGTTTCCACAAGATGCTGGCTGATAGAAGACTGTTAGGAATGAAGTGAAGTAGAGCATCTGCCCCCACCCCCAAATCATCTTTGACAGTTGTGGAATTGTATTAAAAGAATTTTGGTTCACTGTTGATCTTTAAAAATCTTTTATAATTATTTCTCTACCCTTAACATGCCAATTTTTTTTTTTTTTTTAAGTAGATCAGCTCCCTCTGCTTCCCCATCCTTTTCTGTGTGAAGTTTCATCCTTCTTGGGTTCATGGTGTCAACATATTGCATAATTTGAGAACTGAAAGATGCTTGGGTTCTGCAAAACCTGGTTGGTCTTAGTTGGGAGTATGTCCGGCTGCTCTGGCTACCATGATTAAAGAGTATAGACATGGTGCTTTAATCGGCACAAATTAATTTTCTCAGTTCTGGAGGCTGGAAGTCTGTGAGGAGGCTGAAGCAGGTTCATGTTCTGCTGAGGGCCCTCTTATTGGTTTGTAGGCAGCCAGCCACTTTCTTACTGTGTTCTAACTTAGTGATCATCTTCTCCTTATAAAGTGACAGTCCTGTTGGATTAGGGCCCCATCCTTATAATCTCTCTTAACCCCGATGATCTCCTGAAAACCATAGATCCAGAGATAGTCACATTGGAGTTAGCCTTTCATCGTATAAGTTTGGGAAGGACAAAATTCAGATAGGTTTCAGATGACTAAACAGATTTGAAAGATGTCATTTGTTCAATTTCCTTGAAGTTAGTGGAGAGCCAGACTAGATAAGCGATCTGCAGACTTGTGGTTTAGAGTTTCTGGAGTGTGAGATGAAGTTGTTAAGTCCCTCTTCCTCACCCCTTGAAGGAGGTGAGTGGTGTGTGGAAAAGTCTTGAGACTTGAACCAAGATAGATGCTAATCTATTAGAACCACTTAGGTAGGTTATATTACCCCTCTCTGAGCTTCAAGTTAATTTGTTGCTATATTTTATTGTCATTTCCTCTGGTTTCATTTTATTTCTGTTCCTGGTGTCAGACTTCATTTTGCTCCATTTCTAGGCAAGTGTCCTGGGCCCCAATGACTCTGATCTCCATGTGAAACACTGCTATCCCTGTTGGAGGGCCATAAATACAACTACTACTCCTCCAAATCTCCTTTTAGGAACCCTCTTCTCATAAAATTATCAAAACCATTTTACTGCAAAGCTCCATTAATGTACAAACTCAGAGGGGGCTTTTCATTGGTATAGGTTGCTTTTAAGAAGTCCTGGCTGCCTTTAAGCCTATAAACCTATTATCCGGGCCCCTAGTCTGTGTCAATAGCCAGAGTCTGCCAAGCTCCCGAGAGAATTCTGTGGCTTCTCCTGTTCCTTAGTTCTGGCTTCAGTCCAAAGGTTCCATTGACCTGATTTCTTTGATTGTCCAAATGGCAGATCCAGGATTTTTTAGTCAATCTGCCCTAATATGTTAAGAAGCAAAAATCAGCAATGAGCCAACACTCATTCCTGGATTCCTTAAAGAGCTAAGTGCCCTCTCTACTCCCCAATTGTTTGCTCATTTAATTTACATATTTAACAAACACTATATGGTGCTTATTGTTTTGCCAGGAACTACTTAATCCCTTTATAAAATATCAAATATTCAATTCTCAAGACTGTGGCATAGGTATTATTAGTAGCTCCATTTTATAATTAGAAAACTGAAGTTGAGAGAACATAAATGGCTTTCTCAAGGTTACCTAAGTAGTAAGTGATGAATTGTATGTCCATTCTATGATGCTCCATATTTTTAAAGTTTTTATTTCTAATTAAAACATACATGATGTGCAAACAAGAATTGTAAAACATTCTTACAACATTTGTAGCAATGGGAAAAGTTTAACAATTCTAAAACCCTGAAACTCAGCATTTAACAATTTTTTCTTCCCCTAAAACTTATGCATAGTTATGCACTTTATGATACACACAATTTTATTACCTTCTTTGAAAATGACTTTTTGTTGCTGGATATACAAATTGTTGCCAGCCTTCTCTATTATAAACTACATTCGGAAAAAATTTTATGCTAAAGCCCCTTTTCTTTAACTTGGATAATTGGCTTAGTGTTAATTCAAAAGGTACAATCTTTTCATGACTCTTGAGCAATATTTAATATTTGCAAATTTTTTCCTAAAAGGATATTATTAATATGCTTGAAGTTTTACTACAACTTGCCAACTTTGAGCATTACCATTTTTAAAAAACTTGGGGTCATTTACTGGGAATTTAGCAGTATCCTGTAGTTTATTTGTACTTTGCATGATATGTGTGATTGTACATTTTATGTACTTTTTCAATTGTGTTTCTTCATCTATCCTTCATGTACTTCGCTTTCATGAATTTATTGATCCCATCGTTTCAGTAACGATAAACCATTTTTTAATTTGTTATGTAACTAAGGGTCATAATCTGTTATTAGAGGACATAAACTGGCATTCTGTCAGCTGCATTTTGCATAATTTATTTTTGTTACTGGGGAGTTAATCTAGGGATGTTTACCAATGAGCCACATCCCCAGCCTTTTTAATTTTTTATTTTGAGACAAAGTCTTGCTAAGTTGGTGAGGCTGGCCTTGAACTTGTGATCCTCCTTCCTCAACATAATGAGTTTCTAGCATTACAGGTGAGCACCTCCATGCCTGGCTTTTTTTTTTTTTAATTGCCAGTCTTAAATTTGATAGACTCCATTTAAATTCCAGTGTTTAGCCTCCACTGAAAAGTCAGAGATATTTTCACACTGGCTGTGTCATCCCGTTATCACAGTTGATTGCTGGTGCTTTGGGTGCCCCTTTCAATGGATCAGTTGCAGCCCAGATTACTGTCGTCCTCACAGTCTGCTGCTGCTCCTGATCTGCTTTACTCATCATCTGCCTGACCCAATGGATGGTTTCCAGTCACAGACAGAAACCCTGAATTACTTTAGAAGCAAATGTGCTTCTCCTTACTTGTTTCCTTACAGTGATCATTAACATTGTCACTTAGGTTAGCTCCACGCAAGGGATCATTGGATTTCCTGACATGGTGATACACATAAGTTTCAGCGATGGGGATTTTCTTAATGCCTTGACTAATTTCTCTGCTAATCCAACTTAAACTTCTAGTTAGTGTATGGTTACACCATAAGTCCACCACTCTTCTATTCTATGGTTTGATATCTCTATAGGTGAATATTGTTATCCATAAGATCTTGGGTGGAGAAGAATCAAAGTCTGAGCAGTCAAGCCTGGAGAAGAGGTATCAGTATTGAGCAAAAGAATCTATAAAAGCATATAAAGAACAGAGAAGAAGCAGGTGGGAAATGGGTGTTATTAGACAATATCATTGATCAATTGGCTAATTGATATGTAATTGGCTTACTGATATGTAAATTGATTAGCAGTACAGTTGTCTCTCAGTGTCCACAGAGGACTAGTTCCAAGATTCCCATGGCTACCCAAATCCTTGGATGCTCAATTTAATTGTATATGATGGTCTAGCATTTGTATATAACCAATGCATGTCATCTGGTATACTTTAAATCACCTGTAGATTACTTCTTATACCTACTACAATGCAAATGCTATGTGAATGGTAAAAACCAATAATACTGTATTGTTTGGGAAATGATGAAAAGAACAAGTCTGTTCATTTTCAGTACAGATACGATTTTTAAAAAATGTTTCCAATCTGTGGTGATTTGAATCCATGGATGTGGAGGGCTGGACAGGGCTGACTGTATTTGTTTATAGAACCTTCAAAGTAGGACCAGTTCATACTCAATCCTGTGGCTTTTTGTTTGTCCTGATACCATTAAGTATAAGATAATAGAGGTGTGTTTGGGTCTGCTCCAGAAACATTTGTAGGAGGTAGAAAGGAATTCAGAGTTTAAGAGCTAAAATGGATCTTGAGGTTCTCTAATTCATCTCTCTCATTTGCAGATAAGGAAATAGATCCTCTGAGACAACTTGCCCATGTCTCTTGACTCCTGTGCGTTTCCCTCATAGTCTCTGCTGCCCAGTCCAATACTGTAGACCGGGTTTTATAATCTAGGATGTTAAGAGCTAGTCAGGGATATTATTTTAGGAGATCTTACTCAACAGTGGGCATATGAGTAAACTGAATTGGCTATGATGATCTTGTCTACATGCAGGCCAGCCGGCTAGCACAGGAATGAATACAGGGGTGGCTTGTCCAGTGATGTTACTTTGAGTTTAAGTAATTAGGTAACAGGAAGCTGAGAAGGGAAGGAAATTGAGTTCTCTCTATTCTCAACTTACTAAAACATCAAAGCATCATATACATAATGGTAAATGGAGTATACCATATACTATTCCAGAGTGTACACTGTTTTGAAATTCACACTATGAAGGGATCACTGGTGGTTCTCCTCCCTGTTCTGTGTTGGCAGCCTTCATGTAGAGATTAATTTCCAGCCAGAGGAGGAAATAAGAGCATAGACTGGGAATCAATGGCTGGAATTTGAAGTATTCTGATCAGTGTGGTTTTAGACACTGATCTTTTGGGCACTGGGAATTGAACCCAGGGGTGCTTTATCACTGAGCCCCAGCTCTTTGATTATATTTTATTTTGAGACAGTCTTGCTAAATTGCTGAGGCTGGCCTAAACCTGCAGTCCTACCATCAAAGCCTCCCAAGCTGCTGAGAGTCCAGGTGTGCGCCACCACAGCTGGCGAGTGATTGTCTTATTGCTTTAAAAATGAGTGCCATACAGTCTGTCTTGAATGTAAAACTGTTGCATTAATGGGTTAGGGGATCATATGTCTACATTTAGGGGGGAAAAGGACCTCCATATGCAGCATGGAACTCAATGGTTTTAAAACATTCCATTCTTCACTGAGATCTTGAAAAACCTTATCAGCAGCCACAAAATTAAAGATACATAATTTAAACCTATAATCTATATGAGGTTAAAATGCACCAGAAAATAGTATACAAAAGAAACTCAGAAGGCAGTTTTTGAGGTCCTTGAAGGGAGGAATTCTAAATGTTCATGACAAATATAATGAGACCTAGATGGTGGTCCTCACAGGTGCTGGCTCAGAGCTCCATGGATCAGCTGGTCTTTTTCCTTTATTCTTTTTCTCTTTCAAAATAGTTAATGCAACATATCTCAGATTAAACATCTTAAAATGCCACTTAAGCCCCAAGAAGAGAAGTTTGCTAACCCAGGAGAATTTTTAGTGGCATAACCATCTAATCGGCTCTTAGTCATTTTTGCAAGTGACCCTGTACTTCAGGTAAAGTGATGATATTTTAAAAACCCACATTTTGACAGCTTTCCCTGCTGGCTTGTGTATTTCCTTATATGAAATAATTGTGCAGAATATTTGCTGGCAGAAATACCTGTGCAAATTCAGATTACACAGTTGTCATATAGCAAAAATTTAGTCATCGCTAGAATGTATAAATCCAGAAATAGTTGGTGTTTCCTGCATTATTATTCTACCTTATAAAATTTATGTCATTGAAGCCCAAGTGTCTGAATTTCCAGAATTCATGCTTTGTGTCTCAGCATTGCCAACCCAATTGTAGATGTTGTCATTTTAAAACTATGAATTGAAAAAGATGGTAACAGTGAACTTTTAAACATAGTCCTTTCCTTGAATCCTAGGCAATAGCTTATCTTTCACCTGAGGACCTCTTGAAAGGAGAAATCGAAGACTCCTTGGAAAAGGTGCAGGTTGCCATTAACATCTTAAAGAGTTTCAGACATTCTTTTTTCAACTATAGAAAACGATTGACAAGCTATTTCATGGGAAATAAAGATGTGAGAACTTGGGATTTCCCATCTCATCTGGTGTTTTGCAGATTTGACAAGTTCCTTGACCGTTTAATGAAAATAGAGGTATTTATTTATTGACTTTTTTATTCATATTGTGGGTGAGGTAAAAAAGCCAATAGCTTTCCACAGGATTCATGGACCAGCTTCTATGTGATGGGAGGAGGGCTCCCTTCTTATTCTCATGAGGAGCTCACAATGTCAGTGCTATAAGGATAGAAGAATGAATTTAAAAGATTTAATTTGGCTTTTATTCATTTTTCATTCTGTTATTATACCAATTATAAGTCTTTTTATCTATTAGTCTTTTTAAAATTCTAATTAGTTATATATGATAGTAGAATGCATTTTGACATATTGTACACAAATGGAGCACAACTTCTCATTCTTCTGGCTGTGCATGGTGCAGAGTCACTCCAGTAGTGTAATCACACATGTATATAGGGTAGTAATGTCTGCCTCTTTCTACTGTCCTTCCCATCCCTAAACTCCACCCCTTCTCTCACTCCCCTCTACGCAAACCAAAGTTTCTTCATTCTTCCCTACCCACCCCCATCCCGCTATGGATCAGCATTCACTTATCAGAGAAAACATTTGGCTTTTGTTTTTTTGGGATTGGATTATTTCACTTGGCATAATATTCTCTAGTTCCATCAATTTACCTGCAAATGCCATAATTTCATTCTTCTTTATGGCTGAGTAATATTCCATTGTGTCTAGGTACCACATTTTCTTTATCCATTCATCTGTTGAGGGGCATCTAGGTTGGTTCCATAGTTTAGCTGTTGTGAATTGAGCTGCTCTTATGGTTTACTAAGCTCCTGAATGCTACAAATCAGGAAGTTGTAAAAGATTCCCTTTTCCCTGATATGTTCAAGAGGAAATATATAAAACATGGTTTAAATTAAGATTGCAGGAAGATGATATGTCATGAGCTGTGTAATGTTTTGAACAACCAATAAAAAAAAAAAGATTGCATACCTAAAAACCCATTTGATAATTTAAAATAATTACACTGTCTTCAGTATATGGGACTTACTGGGTAAGATATTTTTAAGTTTGGACTGAAAACATGGCCTTATTTTCAAACTCTAATAATTTGGGGCTTTTATCGTTGATATAAAGTTCATTGAATTTCTTTCAAAATTAGAGGTCTACGTTTTGAAAAATTCTAATTTTTGCTTAGCCAGCCGGACCATCTCATAAAGTCACTTAAATACCTAAGTAAGAGCAGCTTGCTCGTCCCTTTTATAACAGTCTCTGGAGCTCTCTTCCAAAAAAGGGACCTGCCTCACTATAAAGTGTAGGTGCCTGAAAATGTGAGTTTTGGATATCTCCTGGGGATCCGGCTTATAATTAGGAGGGTATAAAATTATAGGAGTCACATGTCTAACCATGGTAAGTTAGGGGGTCCTTGTATTGTGAGATGCTTTTCAGCAAATATAAAAATGGGAATTTGATTTTAAAACTTAATAATCACTTGGTTCAATTGTATCAGGAACAGTTTCTGTCATCTAAGTGTCCGTGGACTCACTGATTCAGAATGTTTGAAAATGTTCTCAGTTTGAAACTTTTGTGTTTTTACAAAGGATGTATTTGTCACCATGTTGGAATTTGAAAAGCTGGAAAGACTGGAATTTGGCGGTATCAGGGGAACAATTTTAAATGAGCAAATCTGCAAGATGAGTGAAGAATTTATAGAACTCTGTAAAGTCTTTAAACACAGCTCTTATGACCCGTCTGATTGCAACAACATGGTAATATTGTACCATTGCATTTTCATTTCCTAGGATTCTATATTTTTAAAGCTGGAAAAGGAAGGAGTTGCAGTGATAATAGGTACCATCTAGTCTGGCCCCTGTAGGACCAAAGAGGTTAAAAGACTTGCCTGAAGTCTCTTAGCTTCTTGTGGTGGTGGGTCACAGATCAGAACTGAGGCCTTTGTATTTATTCTGGAACTGTTTCTGATATAACTAGACCTCAGTCTGGATTTGTTTCCTATGCATATTGAAAAGGAAATTTTCTATTGTAACTCATTTTAGTCTCATTTTTTTGATGTCCATGTAATTTATATGTTTTATTATAGTTTTTTCCCAAATCACTGAATATATTTTTGGTCTGTTTATCCAATTAGTTTCACCCCTTTCATTGCATCTATTACTAACCTATATGTTGTCTCTTATAATGTTATTTAGAGCTATTTATAATTTTATGTATTCAACCTCAGGAAATAGCAGTAACTCTCAGACTTAATCTGATTTAAATTGTGATTTAAGCTGCTTCTGTTCTCTGCCACCTGTGAGCATCCTGAAGCTCTAAGAAAAAAATAGAATTGTTTTAGTGGTTTGCCACAAACGGTGAAGGCTGAGTTAAAAAAATTAATTTGTTTTTTAAAATACAAAATATGAATTTATTCACTATTGTGTTTGTATTTGGCTAAGTAATTGAATCTTTAAAATCTACAAATCTATGTTAGCTTTATAATGATGGCATTCAGGTAAGTGTAGTCAATGGTAAGAGGACACTGCCATGTTGGTACCCTACAATTTGTGGATAAGTGGGAGAAGCCTACTGACATTCTGAGCCTGTCCTGATAGCCTGTGTGATGGCTGGCACTTGGAAGGCATTCAGTGAATGGGACACTTCCAGGAGCCAGTGACTCTGCCTGCCTGAGTGAACTATTGGAGGAAGACTGTGAAACTGGGCAGGAAATTTGAGTAGTAGGAGAGTTGTGCTTTCCTCATAATTATAGAAACTGGCAGGTTTCAGAATGCCAGGGTGAGAGACCTTGAGCAGGTTTCACTGATGTCACTACTTTGTCAATGCCCGGATCCTGATGTTCTTCCTTTGTCTGCCTGTGCAGTCACAAGAATGTGGGTGTAGACAGTGCATTTGTTTTAACTCATCTATCTGCTTGCTATTTGTATCTTGGAGGCCTATTTTACTTTGCACATAAGTAAAAGGACAAGGTCTGGGTTGGAGACCTCAACCTTCCCTTAAAGTCCCCCTTCATCTCCTATCTGATTACCTTGCTCTAAGATATAGTCTAGAAGCTGCTTAATGTTCATCATTCCTTAAAATTAACACAAGAATTAACTAAAATTTTACTTAACTGGTACACTTATGTTGAAGAAGACCTTTTTTTTGGGAAAGTGTCTCAATTATCACTACTGCCTAAAAATATTGCATCTATTATATATATTTGCATAATAAGCTGTTCATTAGGTGTGTTTTATCTGAGTCCATTATACATTGATTTTTATGGTGAAATTAGTAATTTTTATATGCATACATGTGGTACACATATGAAAGCAAGCACCCCTGCCCTTCCACTCCCAGTGCACACACCCTCATGCATCCTTCTCAGACCCCGTTGACTGTACCATGCTTACATAGCAGGATAGGTCATGATTGGCGGGCCATCTGCACTTTGGTACAGAAATGGTTTAAATGTATTCCATTAAATTAAAGAAATGATAACTAATTTACTTTCTGAAATGCTGTTTAGTTTTCTCTTCACCAATCTCAAGCCTGTTAATCAGGCTTTCAGTCTTAATTGGTGTGACAAAAGGTCTGCTGCTGATGGTCCATGTGCAGAATGTGGGGATTTTCTCAGTGTTAAATTTTGTATATGAGGTGTCTTCCTGAGCTCCTGTGTTAATGCAGGAGAGTTTGGAGGTAACATGATTGCATCATGAGCTGTAACCTAACCAGTCATCCTAGTTTGAATGAATTGGGTAGTAACTGAAGGCAGATGGGGTCTGGCTGGAGGAGGTGGGTCACTGGCATATGCCCTAGAGGAGGTTTATCTTCTCTGTGGAACAACACCCCCCTCCCTACCCCACTTCCTGGCCACCATGAATGGAGCAGTGCTTCTCCATCACACCCTTCTGCCATGATGTTCTGCGCCATCTTGGGCCCAGAGCAATGGAGTTGACCCACTATAGATTAAACCTCTGAAAATTGTGAGCCCCAAATAAATCTCTCCCTGGTCTAAGTTGGTCTTGTTGAGTATTTTGGTCACTGACAATAAAACTAGCTAACACATTTAGGCATTTAGATAAACATACTTTTTGGCTTCTCAATTATTAATACCAAATGGAAAGGTTACTTTAGGTATTTTCTTTGGCCTTTCCCACTTGAGATCTAGACAATTGTGAGACTGGATTTCTTTGTTGAATATGTTTAACAGCTACTTTGATACCATTATACTCAGTAGCTGTTCTTTGCTGGCTTTCTGCATTGTCACTTAAAAAAAAATTTCTTGAATTACTAAGCAAGGATGGTGCTTGCTTCTTGAGGGGAATCTCGTGATTCCATTTAATCTCTTACACAGAGCCAATTAATATTTACTGAGTGCTGGGCATTGTGCCAGAATCTTCACATACTTCCTGCTAAATTCTCACTATAACCCTGAGAGTGGTTTCCCAGGCAAATGAAGGTTGAGTAAATTACCTGACATTGCAGTTTCCAGGTGATGGAACAGAGATTCAAATCCAGAGCTCTCATCTTCAAGCCCTGTGTTCTTTTCTCCTAGCTTCAGTATTTATTTTCCTCCTTACATCCTCACTGAAACCAAGGGAATAGGTTCATTTTAAAGACCTGTGTCCTGGGATGGAGTGGTCCACGTTTCGGTGTCCATTTTCCTGCTAATTTTCTAGGAGGGTTGTTCTGGTACCTAGCCTGCCATCGTATCGGGATTGAAGACACATTTTTAAAGGATTTGTGTAGTTTATCTGTACCAGCTATCTGAATCCTAGAACTAATCCATTTTCCCATTCTTGTCTACTGAACTATTAATTCTTTTAATATTGCTGTATATAGTGTTTTCTGATTTATACAAATTTCTTTTAGTCATCTATAAGATTTTGATATATATTTTTTTTCAATGTGACATTTAATGTTTAAAAACATTACTTTTGATTACTTTTGGGTGCATAGCACTTGACTAGCCTGTGTGAGGCACTGGGTTTGATCCTCAGCACCACATTAAAAAACAAACAAACAAAAACAAAGGCATCCTGTTCATTTACAACTACAAAAAAAAAAAAAAAAAAAACCCAAATAATACTTTTGTAAAGGTAATATTTACAAAAATGTTACCTGGCACCATTCTTACCTCTCAGTCTTTCCCCTTAGTTTTCCATTATTCCTTCCCAAAGGCATCTCTATTATGAATTTCTCACAAAATGTTCCAGAGAGATTTGATGGATATAATAATGTATATGTAGGTTTTGTTTGTTTTGTTTTCTGATTTTGCACAAATAGCTCCTTTGCATATCATCTATACCTTGCTTTCAACATTTTAACACTTAATATATTTTGACAGTCATTCCCACCTCCCCACCCCCATCCCCAGTACTGGGTATTGAACTTAGGGGGGATTTACCAGTGAGCAGCATTCACAGCCCTTTTTATTTTTTATTTTGAGACAAGGTAACACTCAGTAGCCCAGGGTAGCCTCAAAGTTTTGATCATCCTCCCTTAGCCATCCAAGTCAATGGGATTACAGGTGTGCACCACCACACCCAGGTTAGCAGACATTCTGTATCGCAACAATAGCATTGCTGCTTTTTAAAACAATTGCACATGATCTAGTTGATTCCATGGACTATAAAATGTTATTACAGTAGTTGATGTAATTATTTTAAAATTTAGTTAGAAACTTCTGCTTCTGGTAGAAGTGTACTTTTTCCTCCTCTTCCCACTAAATACAACCAAAATACTGGTCTTTATATTAAAAAAAAAAGGCCAGTATTTTTACTTTGAAAAGTGAAAAGGCAGCAAACTGGCTAAGGACTTTAGCACTCAAGAAACAACATGGTGATGAGTTTGCTGGGTTTTCTTGTTGCCCAGACTTGGAGCTGAATACACTGGCAACCTGGAAATACTAGTGGGCACAAATCAAGAAAAATCCAGTAAAAGACTATTTTTTATATTTTCTAACTGAAGGACTAAGAAGGGAGCCACCTACTAAAACAGAAAACTTAGAATGCAATTTCTCCAGTCTTGCCAAAACCACAGAAGAAACTGTCCCACTACTACCCCTGCCAGGAAAGGCTATGTGGAGAGTCTTGAGATATAGCAATCTGTATTAAAGTGCTCCAGCCTCTGCTGAGAGGTATTAGAGATAGGCAAGGAGGAGCCATGATTTTCATCTTTCCTGGCCAGGGATGAGCACTACTCTGTGGTGTCCAAGGAGTCCACATGGGAATCCTGAATCTTCTTTCTCCCCCAGTAGCATCCTCATTCCACTGGGCTTGTGTCAGAGGAAGCCCTGATAGAGAGTCAGGACTTTTACTGTGGCAAAATAGTAACAATACTGTGTGCACCATGGTGTTAGTAGAGATTACATAGGGAGCTAGACCTCTCACCCCAGCCTAGCTAAGCAAGGGGTCTCCCTACCCTTGGGCATAAATAGATGCTGAGTGGAGAACATCAACTTCTCTCTCCACCTGACAGTAATGAGCCTAAAATAGCATTAGAAAGTCAGCACAAGCAGGGTCTAAGGGCCAGGGTTGTGGCTCAGGGTTAGTGTGCTTGCTGTGCATATGTGAAGCACTGGGTTTAATCTCTGGCACCACATAAAAAAATAAACAAAAGTATTGTGTTCATCTACAACTAAAAATTTTTTTTTTTGAAAAATCTTTAAAAAAAAGTCTAAGATCCAGTCTCATAGCAATTTGAAAATGTGTAGACGTCAATTGAATATTGCTTTTTATGTAGGGAACCAAGATCTTAATTGAACCACAAGACA